GGATCTTCCGCAGAAATTGCCGCCCTCTGATGCGCCGTCTCTTGAGACCGACGTCAGCCGCACCAGCTCTACAGACCGGCTTGGCGACACAGTCAACTCGCAGAGTTCGAAGAGCACGCTGCGAGGCGACGAGAGACGGACGAAATGGTGGGACTTGGCGGAGACGGAGGCGGAAGAGGAGATGGAGCAGCTGAAGGCCAGACTCGGCCGTTGCACTCCTCGAGCCATGGAGTCCGCGATGACCACCGTCCCGGTCTCCTCTTCCCCCACCTCGTCCGCACCCTCTTTGACCTTGCAGACGAGCGGCTCGCGAAACCCGTCCGCGTCAACCATGTCCCATCTGCACGGCCATCGTGCAATCCGCGACGGCGACAAGTTGATTCTCACCATTCCTTTGGGCGACCACTTCACCGTTGATGAGATCCGCGTGGCCGAGACACGCAATGCGGTCTGTGTGAAGGCGAGTCGTCAGGTCAGGATACCCGAGAGCGGGGACAACAGTGGCGTCAGTAGCCGGAACAGCTACAGTGGCGCGGGTTGCGCGACTCCGGAGGCTGTGGGCTTGGCGGGTCCGGCGGCTGTTATCGCGGGGACGGGGGCCGGAGAGACGGCCGGCCGCGGCAGACTTGGCAACCTGGTGCGGCAACAGTTCTATAAAGAGTACGAAGCATCTGATTGCCTTCCTCGGCCAGAGACGCTCTCCTACACACTGACGGACGGCCTCTTGCGAATTGAGGTTAGGGTCTTGTCGAAGGACTCGGTTTAGGCTACAGCATTTTTTTATGAATCTTTGCGGCACCAGCTCTGTTAGGTTCGTTTTCACACGTGGCCTCGATGAAACGCATTATCACACATTGCAGACGGTTGCCCCTAGTTCACTTACCTACGTTGTCTGCACAGTGGACGCAGACGTATGGTCATCCGCAGCAGCAGTTGTGTGTATGGCATACATTAAGCAGAGAACATGGATCAACGCTGTATTAACTATATTCTCACAACTGTGCCTCGACTGTATCACTTATACGTCATATTTGTCTTTATGACATTCCGTTCTATTACATTTTACATTTTGCAAGTGCCTGACTGTGTACAATCTTTTGCAACAGAACTCGATCAACTGCACTTGGGTAAAATCTGGATTTATGGGTTACGACTGTGTTATACTCGATCAACTTACTAATTTTATTGTGGGTTTGGAAAGTTATTTATTTTGCCTTGATCCACAATGGATTACATTAAATGATCTATATACCCTTCCTACCTTCCCAACCGTCAATCTACAACGAACTATCTCAGCAAATAAGTAGATGTATCTACCATTCGATAACAAGTCCATTAAGCGATCATCAAAGCACCTACCTGCAAGCCTATCTTACTGTCCATATTTCCATAAGATATCTACATATTTTTTTGGATGTACTCCACAATTTATGCCACTTCGTTTCTCTATAAGTCTATAATCCGGTTAGGCTAACTTTCCTACTGTCCATGTGGTTGTGTCCTGTACTTTCATCCAAAATTCGGTCAAATTTCTATCTGTTTGCTTTTGCATTTGTATA